ACTTTGAATTTAATTTATTAAAAATTAAATTTGTTAGCAACTAAATATCAGACGTAGTCAAGGTTTTAGGGGCTGCCAGTGGCAAATCAAGAAAGGTCAGGCATGGAAGGGCTTTGATAAAAAGATAAGTAAAAAGTCAGCTTATAGACATTAAATCTTAAAAAGATCACCAACTTAATCTTATACTTAGCGAACATTTATTTATTTCTTGGCTTTCATCATATTTCAACAAAGTTCACGTCATCTCATAATTTTGCCCCCTCCTCCCCGACAACTTTGTCTAACTTTGCCACAGGGAACTGCTACATAAGATTTGTGGCTGACGAATACCCCCACCAATTTTTTTCAGCTGACAACCTTTTTTTGTTTATCATGGCTATTACAATATATTTTTGTATTCTTTTTAATTAATTAATTTATTTATTCATTCGTTGATATGTTTATTTATATTATTTATTATTTATTTATTTATCTAAACACATATCAAAAAATAAAAAAAATATAATTTTTCCATAAGAACCATCTGATAAGAGGTAAAGGCTAGGTTGGTTAGGTTGCCTGTTTCTGCATTGGCTCAGAGCTACCATGTTATCAAAACTTGATACGTCAGTTCCGCACTTGCACTCTTTTGTCAGTGTCTAAAGTTTTTTTTAGATTATTAAATTATTTGTTACATCACTATTTAAGTGAAGATATAAAGTAAATGACATTTTTTAAAAGTTTGTTGGTTACGTGAACCGTTTAATTAGATGCTTTTAATTTACTCGTCTTTTTAGTATTTGCGTTGACTTGGAGTTGGTATGTTAAGCAAAACTTATTTATAGGTACAAACATTCATTTGGCTAAAGTTAGTCTGTTTAATGTAACAATGTTCCTGGCATTCTGGATTGTCATGTTTAATTTCCACGTGGAAATATAATTTGTTGAATGTGAAACAGCCGATTTCCACCGCTCTGTTTCCTAGTTGATGGTGTTGTAAAATTAATACAAATACCTATTGATTAGACAGAAATATGTTTGATACTATGTATTAAATATTATAAATCAATATTATACTTTATAACTTCTGAATAAAGTGTGCATATATTTTCAAATAATTTCAAATGAACTTTCAAACGTGCTTTCATAAACCGAAATGGCAAGGCTACCCCCACATTTTAAACCACCACAAATTCTGTTACATCTTTCATTATCAACTTGGCCCAAAAGTTCTTTCCCACAAATGCAAAAGGCATCATCCTGAGTTTTAAAATAATAAAAATAATTTTTCAAATTACTTTTCCTTTAAATTGAAAAATTGAAAGTAAAAGTTTTAAAATGTATTCAGTTAACGTGCTATGCGTTCCAATCAATTAATATACTAACACGAACACCGTAGAAAGGATGCATTGAACAATTAGAGTAACAAGCCAGTAGGGATGAATATTCTTTACTGACAGAACTCTCCAGTGAGGTGAAACACCCTTTGTGCTTCATATGACTCATCAGTAAAACATTTATAGCTGAATGAAAATTATTAGAAGATTGTTGAGAAAGAAATCGAGCATATTTTAGAGACAATTTCGTCCTCATACCATTTAACTGAAGTTACAAGGCAAATATTATAAAAGTTTTTTTTCTGTTTCACCACAGCTCGTGAATGGATGGACGTTATACGATTTTTTATTTGATCTCAACGGACTAATCAAAAATATACAAGATACAATTTTTGATAGAAAAAAAGTATAACTTAGAGACAAACAGAGAGGAGAGAGAGAGAGGAAGTGAGAAAGAAAGTGAGAGAGAGAGAGATAAGATAATGTGTAAAAGAAAGGGAAAAAACATATACTAAATATATATCATCAAACGGTATTTTACAAATTAAAATTAGTAAGAAAATTTTCATAAATAATCTCAACTAACTTTCCTCCGATAAGGTTCGGTGAAAATGTAACAGTGCAATGTGAAATATAAAAAGCAGAGTAAACGAGCTCTGGTACATGAATTAAATTTTTCGAATTAATTAGTTATATATGGAAACTATTTGTTTTCATCTAACTTTTTAATTTGTTTTCAATTTGTTTATGTAAATATAAACTCTTGGGTTTGTTTTCATGATATTTATGTTTGACGTAACGTAGAAGATATTATTTAAAATCAAATTTTTACAAAAATGTGTTCGAAGATCTCTAAACAGAATCAATCTTCAGACACGAAATGTTTTCATCACATGAATGATTAATAGAAAAGAAAATAATTTAGTATTAATAATATTTTATTGATGCGATTATAAAATTGCCTAATAATGTTAAAAGTTATGTTAATTATAATCAGATTAGTATTTTTTGACTTTTAAGGAAAGAATAGAAAATCTATCAACCACTGAAAAGATTGCAGAGAAAAGAGATCACGGCCTTGTGTCACTTGTTGAATATCACCTCATTTGTGTTAAAGATCGGGTTTTGTGGAGGTCGATGGTCACCATTGTCCTGAAAGGATAAGGCACGAGAAAGAAAAAGAAGTAGTTTATTATTTATCTATCTCTTTTAGGGTGTCCCAAAAATATGAAGTTTTAAAATATTGATGTCTCACCCCATTAAATATGTCTGTATGGTAACAGTAATTTACCTGCTAAATTTTAGCCCATTTGGACAATGTTTAGAGGTCCCCCAAGGGGTCGAAAGTTTCCGATTTTGGTGTTTGATCGTTCGCTACCAACTTTTGATACAGTGTTATATGATATGATTATAAATGTTTTATGATTTGTTTATACAAATGAAACAAAATATATAATTGTGAAAAAATATATAAATCTGCAATGCCTTTTATTTTTTTAATTTCAAAAATTAGGTCAAAAATGATTGAAAAACAAGATTTTATTAAATTTCAGTTCGCTTGAATATTAATTAATGCAAATAATTCAAATTTTTGCTAGCAGTTCACGAGTATATTCTGCAAAGTTTTTCCTATGCTGTTCAACTACTTGAAGCAAAAATTGTTTCTGTTCTACGTCTTTGGTGATTGTTTCATTGAAATGTTGTACCAACGCTACTCCCCGTTCTGCAGAGTCATTGATGCAAACCAGATTCTTTACAAACACTGCCGCAACTTGGAAAGAAGGAGTATCTGACCAGTTTTCAACAAGTACATCAAGAAAACTGGCATCAATATTAGATGTTTCAAAAAATGTTTTAGACTCACGCAAATTGTCAAAACTTTGTGGTAGTGTTTTCATCAGATGTGGGCCTCGATCTGCTTGTATTGTGCGGACAAGATCAGTTTTTTCTTTGTCATACAGGAGAGATGAAAAAAGAACAAGAGTTGCCAATTCTGGACTCATGTACCAAAAATGACGCAGCATCATTTTTAATCGTCAAACCAAGAACTGCATCGTCATAGTCATGCAAACGCTGTATCAACAAAATATCATTCACAGGTGCATCAGCAGTGAGCCTGCATGAAAACCATGACTGAAGATAAACACAAATGATAAACCGATTCAAACGTTGAATACCTTGTAATTCTCGAGCTGTTTAAGTTAAAAATGGTTTTATTTACGGTAAATAATAGTTCAATTTTTAATGCGTAGATGGCTTTTGCCATCCATCGTGCCCTGTGCCGTGCACCAGGTTTGCGAATGGCTACATCAACCAGCAGTTCAGCTATTTGTGCAGCAAGAAGTAGAAACTCTAAATAGTCATCTCGAGAATGTCTGACCTCAAGTTGACATTTGATGAATGCTTTAATTGCATCTGAAACAATTATCAAAGAGGTTGATCTGGCTTCTGGTGTGTGATTCATTTCTGTCCATTTTTCACGAAACCTTTTGAAGAATAAAATTTCTGGTCCAGTGGATGTTCCAAGACAAACACTATATATACAGGCAAGCAGCACTTCAAACTTATGATGACGGCAAGCCATCCATACTAAATTACGTCCCATGGCTTTTTCTAGAAGAGTGCAAGCTCCATTAAGTTTTCCAGTATTTGAAGCTGTCGTGTCAAAGCACATGCCAATAACCATTGATTCACACTTTCAAGATTTTATCTGTTCATGAACTGCATCAGCAGCTGCTCGTCCTAATCCAGATGCTAACTTTGGAACTCTAAGAAGTTTTGTAGTGCCATCAACAAGTGATGAGAGCAGGACAGGCAACCAATCTACGTTGACAACACCAGTAACATGGCGAGTTGACTGGTTAAAAATATACATTTTTTGCATTCTCTAATAAAGATTATCATTCTACAGGTAATTGTTAATAATATTTTAAACTATAATTAATGTCTGCAGTGAGATAATTAAACTAGTTTGCATTTCTAGCTTTATTTCACTCATTTTGTGCATATTGTTTAAGATTATTGATATGGATTTTGAATCAACTCGATAGTAAAATTTTAAAAGCCTTTGGGGAACCTCTCAAACTTGTTCAAATGAGCTGTAACTTCACCAATTTAATTATTGTACCCAAGAGACACTTTTCAGAGGGTGAGACATCAACTAATTAAAAAAAAAAATTTCCGTGCATTTCTGGGACACCCTAATTCTCTTTGTTATATCTTTCAGATGTGTTAGGCGAATGAATGCCTTAGCGAACACTGAATGTGATAGATAGGATGGATTTGTTAACAATGATAAAACATTAAGGTGATTGATTTAAGTTGATCGTCTTATTGTAATTGTAATGATTATGTTTACGTTTTGTTGGTATTGAAAGTTTTGGTGGTAATGATGTGATAGCAAGATATATAATAGAAATAACAAAAAATTCAATGTTTAAAATATTGACCGACCGATGAAATTTAAAAAAATGTGTAAAATCTTATCAACAAATTTTCTTTACAAAATGTGATTCTGAAGATCAAAATAAGTATGACAATAAAAAATGAAATAGCATTTAAAATAATCAAACATAAACATTATCAGTTTGACTTTATTTCAATTTTTAATATTATTTGAAAAATTATTTCATTGAAATTCATTCTAACATTCAGCAGTCTGAGGTTTCGAAAAAGCTTAAATAATTAATTTACGTTTGGTTTATTTTCGGTTGTGCTAGTTGTCGAAACTGTTTTGACAGGGGTTTTAGACACTTTTTCTTTCAGGACTACATGTTAATTATATAGAAATAAAATTAATAAATTTAAATTTATTTAATAGAAAGATAAAAATTTTTTAAACAAATGTTAATTAAAAATAATTAACTAAAATAACAAATAATGAAAAAAATAAAATTAATTTGTTTTAAAATGGACACAAGTTTCAGCATGTGATATGTTATATTGATCAAAAAAGGAAAGTTACATTAAAAATAATTTCTTTGAGAAATGTTCAACTGTCTTCAGAGAAAATTAAAAATAAAAATATGTTCAATCAATTTAAGTGAATTTTTTTTAAATTGAAAAAAATTGAGTCACTTCTCTTCTTTTGAAGCGATTTGACTTGTTCTTTGATCCTCCGTCTGCAAATCAAAATCACCAACAAAGCTGCCATGCTTAGGATTAAGCTGGCAACACTGAGAAAGAAGGTCTTTTGTGGAAGTACATCCATTATGTCGTCTGCCATTTCTTGGAAGAAATTATTATTTTTTTTTACTTTCTGACTCGTTGTTTATTATAATTCTATGTCGAAGATTGGAATAATTTTATGATTTTATAAAAAATATTATCACTACTATTCAGTTTAATTTGGGCTACTTATGAAAAAAAAGCAGTTTAAGTGAACAAAGCTGAACTTGCAAAATTCATCCAGCTATTAAACAAAAAATTAAAAGACTGATAATTTTGGGAGGGAATAGACATTTAAAAAGATAAGAAAAAAATAGTTTTTTTGTAAAATTGTTTCAACTTTCGAGGAAAAATTGATTTGTTCACCTGTACACCTTGTACTATTTGACCTCACAAATCCATTTCTACAAAAGCACTGAGAGCGATTTGACTTCTCCTCAACGCATTCCATTATACTTGGGCAGTTTCCATTGGCGACACTGCAGTCTTTTGAAGACAAATTTGTAGATTTTTTTAGGAAAAATTTACTATTTTATTTATAACTTTGCACGTTTTAACAGAGTTTGATTTTTTGGTTAGTAAAAAGCTCTTCCTACCCCTGACATCACAGACACCACCTTTCCAGCCAGGAACGCACGCGCCAGGTTTACACAGCTGGCCATCTTCAATTTCGTCATTCAAACAGAAATGATATAATTTCATCCCGTCAATGTAATCGTAATCGGAGAAAACTGATGAAATAAAAACCACTAATACGTTAATGTTTGTTAAAATAAATTATTATTTATAAATGTCATTTGGTTGTTAAATATGTATGTACCTTTGTAAACCCGAAAAAATCTCAACTGATCTTCTAAACAGTCTTCATATGGGTAGTGACCAAAAATGTTGATCTCATTTCCACACAAACAGATGAAACCTTTCTGGGTGTGTTATTATAAGTCAAATTTGCATCCAATTTAGAGAATTTGTCAAGAATTTAATGTTATTACGTACTAATAAAAAATACAATTTTTACTCAAATGTAAATACAAATGAGTCTACGCGTCACAAACAGACGCTTTAAACAGAATACCATCCAGCCAACAAATTTCATTCATTACAAATTTTCTTACCTTGAAAGCCATAAACTGCGTTGAAATGTTCCTACAATGATTAAAACATTCGGCAAAAGTAAGGTTTTTGAACGTGTGAGGTGTCTTGAAGTACACGTATTTGAAACATCCGATTAGAGTTTCTTTGCCCTGTTCTTCTGTGAGGTTATGTAGAAAAATCTTTTACTGAAGGATTAACATTAATAACGAAGAAAAAACTTGCGATAGCATTTTTTATAAAAAATATTTGTTGTTTGAAATACTTATTGTTTTTAGTCATATATTTATATATATCTACGATCTATATCTGAATATATGTATTTGTATCTGTATCTAAATATCTATCTATGAATATCTAGTTATATTTCTACATCTATCTAAATATCTATCTATGAATATCAAGTTTTTTATCTAAGCTTTTGTTAATTTAGTTAATAAATTAAATAATAAATTAATTTATACTATTAAAAATAAATTTATAAATGACACAATAGTGATCGAATTTAATGACAAAAAAAGATTCTATCAATTGAAATATATCTCTAACATACTTGCATATACGGAGTAAAACTTATTCGTATTGCACGGAGAACTTCCTCCCTCTGTACAAACATCACAATAAGATGATGGAACCATGCTGTCTATTTCATTGGTACACACGCACCTCTTGTTTGGATTCTTCGACAGTTGGCAATTTTTGTTAAAATTAATTTGATTGGTAATGAAAATTTTTTTTGAATAGTTGGAATTATTTGATAATGAAGTTTATTTATTTAGCTTACAACAAAACTGAACTGTTTCATCATGAGTAGGGATGGAATTTTATAACTAGAAAATTTTTGGGAATAAAACTATGTGTGTAGTTAATGTATTTCGATAATTATAAAAAGTGTTGGATTACGTTATTAAGATTTTTAACAGGTGATTAATTTCTTAGGATTTTGTTCACTGGTTCATGTATGTACATACAGCTACAGTAATGCATGAATTCTACTGAATTGTTGGCATTAATCAATTTAAAGTTTGTCATAAATCATCTTCAGTGCAGGTTTGGTTTAAGTAGATTAAATAGATAAACAGTTTAAATAGATAAATGGTTTACATATCTTTGGTATATATAGATATATATGTTTGAGCCGCAAGATATTTAAGGCATCTGATTCTGCTGCTGCAGAGGCTGGGTTTGAATGCAAGGAAATCTTAGCCTATCCAATGCAAGGTCTATGATACATAACTTCAAAACTATTCACGTGTTGTTGTTGATACCTCTGACAAAAATAATTATAAAAAAACTTATAATGGCGATTATGTAGACCATGCAAAACTTTATAAATGTCAAACTGAATATCTCACGTCAAGCCCGTAAAATTTTGTCCCGCATACTTTCCGACATTGGTTCTCGGATGTGACTTCGTTGGTTGTAGAGTTACCAACCTCGCAGAAACAACCGATGTAATTTGAGTCTGTTTGAGCTACTGCAAGGAAGGATCAATTTTTTGCACGTTACAGTCTTAATTTTTTTTTAATTTTATAAATTTGAATAGTGAAAGAAAGTATGTTGGAGTTAATAAGGCTTAAAATGTTGGCCTAATCGTAGTTTTTTATAAATAAGGCCGTATTTTCTGATCATATGATATTTAATTTAAGTGCTTTATTTATAAATTTTCAAATAAATATGAAATTTGTTAATCTTTCATTTAATGCATCATAATATAAAGATGAAATTTGCAACCAAGTGTTATGTTGAATGTGATGCAATCCACATAAATAGATTGTCCAACGCGTTCCTCTTCAACACAGACGGAATCCTGGCCACAGTTACCATTATTTATCTGGCAGTCTGTTTGAAAAATTTTTTATGTAATTTTTATGAAAAAAAAAATATAGGCAAGACTTTTGGTTCGTATTCCAATTTTCAAAACAATAATAAACTGAAATTTATATTCATACTAACAACGAACTATCCGTAAAAAATTGTGAGTATCTTAAATCAAAGAAGGTTTAACGTGATATCAGTAAATTTTAAGCGTTCAGACAATTTTTTGAAGGAATAAGAAATACAATTTTATAATATGAAAGCAAATTGATTAACGAAATCGTGTAATTTATGTCATAATAAGCATTTTTATTTGGTTTGAAAACTGTGAAACTTTTGACTGAGCCTAGCAAACGGCCTTCAACTGTAAATTGTAACTAATTCCACCAAATTTAGGAAAAAAACCAACTTACCAACTAGATAAACTTCTAACTCGCTAAGAGAAATATCATCCAACTGATAATCAAAAGATTTATACACGATAACGAACTGAGTCTTCAATGTAACATCTCTGCAAGTGACTTTCATCGGCTGACCAAATGGTAATGCTTCCATATTCCACGCTCCACATGTTTCGATGTTTTTATCTAAAACATAACCGCTGTCATTGTTTAACGTTTCGTTCGTGCCAATCGTAAAACCATCCACAACATTGCTTTCTGTTGAATATTTTGTAAAACGTTTGCAATGAAATAATCGGAAGAATTAGGCTATGTAAAAACCCAATTAGTTTTATCATTGACCAAATTTTGGAAACGAAAGAAGGGATTTGCAATAACATTGAAAGAATTAGAAAAAGTAGGCTATGGAAAAACTCAATTGGGTTTATTATTGGCAAAACTCCAGAGACAAAGTTAGCAATAACATGGACAACGTGGTGAATGTTGAATATTTAAAAAAAAATTATGCAATAGCATAATTAAAATAACTTGACTGGCCAAAACTATAAATAATTTGTTATAAGTCTAACTTTGGAGTAAGAATGAATGATACACGATCACATAAGCGACATGGTAAACGTTCGGAAGATATACAATTATCCAGGCTCTCATATGCTCAACAACAAGGAAGGATGGAGTTATCAAATTTTCATCGGTGACAAATTTGCTCGATCCTTCGTTGTTTGAGGAATAAACTCTTGTGTGTTTCGCTGCGTTCATTCTGATGTCTTAAAACATTACATTATCTTTTAGAATTATTTAAAAGGTTTCAAAAATTATTTCATGGAATATGTGCAACTTTTGTCTCTCTACTGACATTCACATTTCTGGAACATGTTTCTCATCAACCCTGTTGGACAAACACATTCGGCCAATATTCTCCCATTTATTGGAGTTTCAAGGCAAATTAGTTCTAGTCCGCACTCTCCATTGTTTTTAAGACAATCTGAACAATTTTTTCGAAAAAAAATAATAATTATAGCTTACTTTTGAGAGGCAAATACAGTTTTAACACTAAGGATTTCTGTTAGTTTTAGAGTAATTAGAATAAGATGAATTCAATCGAAAAACGAATTTAAAATTTGTTCAAGTTTTATAAGGGATTATAAAAATTTGTTTCATTTTAGATAAAAACTATTATTTTATTTAACCTCTAGCCTTACAATCTTTATTTTTCCACCCACCCAGACAGCCTTGAGTCTGAAAACAATATGATATTGTTGAGGAATTTCTTTCCATGCAGTGTGAATATGACGAGTGGCCTGATGGAAATTCCAATTGGTATCTACCTAAGGAATATTTTTTATTATTTTATTTTTTGCATTTTCTCATTAAATAAATCTTAATGTGATATAAACAAAGTGATTGTTAGTACTGTGCAAACATTCATGCTACAATATGAATTTTACTTAAATATAAAGACTAAACAATCATATGAGTTAAATAGTTGATTTATTGTTTACAAACTTGAGAAGAGAGGTAAAGACTTGACTGTTGTATCAGATATGAAAGAAAAGTCAGAGCATGACGATGTTTCATTTGAGACGGTCAGTTGACCAACATCACTGGCCAGGCACGAACAATTGTTATTAATCTGATCATTTCAACGCATACTATATATTATAGTTATAATTTTGAATTATTCAGTAATGAGTGAAATTAATTCTTTTACTATAAATACTTGTTTGGCCAATTAAACATCAGGCACGTTTGAATAGCCAGAAATCCAAGTAGCAAACTCACTTTGCACTCTAACCCGGCCATTGTAACAACAAAGCCAAGCACTTTAACCACTACACAACTGTGCCGCTCGACGATTTACAATGGTAAATTTATTTAATAAAGAGAGCAATGCAAATAATTTGTTGTTAAGTGTAAAAATTTGAATTTATCAGATTAAACCCTAAACTTACAAAAATCGTGAATATAGAAAGGTTTCTTTCCAAGCAGAAATGCGTGCAATCGTCAGGCATAGATCTCGACTCAGTGAATGTCATGGATTCAAATGTGATACCAACGTTCTCAAAATTGCCCAAATATATGTGGCAGTTACTCGCTACTGGGTCACCTTTTGTTTTAAAAATATTTATTTAGATTAGTGTGGGAAATATGAATGTTCTCACTGATAATAATTAATTTCATACTTGGCCAACATCTGTAAATGTTAATTTTTTTTATATAAAACATTTCAGTAGGACATCCAAACATTGAAATTAGCTTTTGCTCAGAAATAACTATAACTCTCAACTAAAAAACAAATTTTACACACACACAGAGAGAGAGAGAGAGAGAGAGAGAGAGAGAGAGAGAGAGAGAGAGACAGACACACACAAACAAACACACAAACACCTATAAACAATAAACTCAAACTCACACCACACCTCTATAAACTGAATAACAGTATTCTCCACCACAGGACATCCTATCGGCACAGCTCCTGTTACAATCAGATGATGGTAGACCGGCAAGAACTCTCGTCACGCAATGACATTCTCTACCATTCTGATTACCAACGATTATTAAACTATTAATTAAAATAATTATATCAATAATTAATAAATAAATTTAATATTGAATTAAATTCAAATAAAAATTTATTAAATCCAAAAACAACCGAACGCAAAAAACTAAAAATTGTACCCTCAAAGCAATCATTGGAGCCTGCTTCGTGTCAATATCGCTACTGTTACCGTGTTTTTTCATGCAATATTCTTTACATTCGTTCAGGCCGGCAACTATGGTATGACATTGAGATTGGATGAATTTGTAACAGCCTATGTATTCATCTGCTTTGTGTGTTTGTTGGTTGACTTATAGCAGTTATTATTGAATAGTCATATATCAATGAATGAATTATATAATTTAAAAAAATATTATATATGTATAACATTTTATATAACATTTGCTAATTTTGTAACTTAATATCTTTCAGAGAAGTTTTCTATTTCTGTCTGTACGAACCTTTAATTATTACTCATTATAAAAGATATTGAAGGGTTAATGGTCTCAGTGAATGAATTCAACAAGTGCGTAATTGTGAAATTTCACTGTTGGAACTCCATGATATGTTAATTTACACATTTATTGGCAAAAGTTCTGCCCAAACCATTTTTTTAAACAAAGAAACAGATAAATACATAAGAGCCATTTTTACTTCAACAAATTAATAAATAAAAGCTAAGAGTCAAACAATCTCTGTGTTTGTTTCAAAGATATCAACGACACACACACATACACGCACATTCACGCACGCACACACTCACACACACGCACACACACAACACGCACATAGCGTTCGATAACACTAGACAACAAATTTTAACTTTGTGTCTGCTACTTGAGCAAAATTATATTATCCATATAGAGTTTTTGATGCTGAT